GTTACAATCGTATTAACAAGAATCCAGCAGAATAGAATGCATATACAAATTCACTAATTACACTGACACAAAACTAGACAGTAAAACTGGTTGAATAAATGCCAATACTTCACCTTTAATGGTGGTTTATGCATATTTTCTGATTTTTTTCTGATTTCTTGGCTTCAAGCTTTTCAAGACCCACTGCCTGTGGTGTTGTTAACCTTGCAGTCAACATATCCCGTTATTTTCCTGGCTAACTACCGGCCAATAAGCTAAGTGAGGTTTACAATTGCGTCAACAATAATATATAACCCTGACTGACTGCCTGGTTTCAACGTAGAACTTTATACAGATGTGCACCAGTTCGAGTTGCCACACTCCCTCCATGTAGCACACAAAGTAAGAGAAGAAAGTACAGAGAGATTCAAAAGACAGACAACAAATAGAAATGTGAGGCAAAAAGAACAGTAGAATTTTATTGGATATGACTAATCACACGGAGTGGACGCATCTGCCCCAGCCATCGAGAATAACTTTGAACCATATCTCCAATTTTCTCTAGCCATTGATTTTTACCATGCGTCGGTGGCATAACAGTAGAAAGCTCGCAAAGCACGCAGGTGGTCCGGGGTTCGACAACCGGCCGATGCACTTCTTTACCTCGCTAAGCCAGTAATAAGACTGGTAATGAGGGAAGGTTGAGCATGAGGCTAGCAACACCATCTCGTAAAAATAAATAACACTATCACCGAAACTTCAAGCCTCTAGTTTGAAGCTCTATTTTCTACTGGGAAGATAAAGGAATAAAAAAAGTTTGGTTCTTAACATGCCTAGGACCACAGCCAGTCTACACCCCACTAAGTGACTGGCTGACTTAAACTAACTGTTGTGGATTTCATTCACTGATGCCATCTTTCGGTTTGACCACCACTAACTCTTTTCCAACCTGATCCTGTGTCAGTCAGCTAACGCCGCCCGTCGAGGAAGTTGATGGCTAGGAATGCATGCGTAACACATTTCCTAACCATCCAAATCGATGTAGCATCACAACTTTGTCGACTGATTTCCCCTCTTTACCTAGTGGTCGACTAAAGGTTAACCTCAATATTACTCACGTTATTATACCACCACTTAACATGGGTGATAAGACACAGATACCTACGATCAAATACAGCTAGCCAGGCTTTTCATATCTCCCACTTTCAATGGCCATTTTTCACTCGCAGTCATGAAGAAGGATAGAGCGAACTGCTGAGTAGTACACACGTTATTTGACAGCCAGCCTGCCAGCCAGATATCACGTCTACACCAGAGATCGTGTCAGTTAGGATATGCCAACCAAGTCTTGTGTATCCGTGATGAGACTTCGTCAGTGGTCAATCTGCTGGCGCTAGCTGATGCAACTGACATCAGATAATATCAGAGAAGCATATCTATATATATATATATATCAAACCCAGAATAATTGGACTTTCTAAATAGAAAAGATGCATCTTTGGCCCGCTGGCAGAATACTCATTAATGACCTCGAATGCTGCGGTTCCAAGTTCGATTCCCAGCCAACAGACTGCCACAATTCAATAGCTGGTAATAATCCCAGTAAAGAGCGGAGGTTGAACGTGAAGCTAGCAACCTCACCCCACGAAAATGAAACTGTCTTCAATGACACCAAAACCTCATAGCTGATTTTCTAAGCCTTATTTTTCACCTTTGGGTTACATCACACTTCAGGTCAGCTCTGAAGTGGAACCTGAATGGGAAAAGACTAGTTGGGCATCAGAATGTGACATGCAGGTGGTCATGTGAGGAGGAGATGACAACATATATAGACCATCGTGGAGCTATCTAAGGAAGGCGGTAAAGAACAGAATGAAATGGAAATATACCGTTGGAGTCCTTTGTTCCACTGGGAACTCAAGGAATAAAAATGAGTGAGCTAAACAGAAGGCGTTTAATATAATAGACATAAATGGAATCCATTTATTGGTGAGAAAGCTTATCCTCCTATTTCCAGCAGATACTTATGGCTCATTGGCCTCAGGACTTGAATTTCAGTCAATATATTTCCATGAATCGGCACATGAAAACTCTGTTCCGTCCATATAAGTTCTAAGCAATCAGGAGATACATTTCAGCAGAGAATATTACCTTATACAACCTGTTTGTGTAAGTACTGACTATACCTACTAAATATCTACTAATTAAAAAAGAATTCACGTATTGGTTTGTAGGGATTTGATTGATTGGTTGCAGGATTTCATTATGAGCTGACACTGGTTAGAGAACCATCGGTAAAAAGCTGGGGGTACTAGACGGCTGTTTCGTCCAACTAGTTTAGGCTTCTTCACAGTACGCACCCACTAGGGTTTGAGGGTGGGCGTGATGACAGATGCTTACCGAAGACATTGGCTAGTGGTCACACAAGCTTTGTAGCCAGAAGGTTCTAGGTTAGAACCACGATGGGTGTGTACTGATGAAGAGTCCCAAGCTAGGATGAAACGGCTGTCTAACACTCCCAGCTTGTTTTCCACTGGTTCTCTAACCGACGTCAGCTCATGAAGAAATCCTTTAACTAAAAGACAATTGGAATTCAATCAAAATAATTCAGCATTTTGTGCACATTGTGCACACCTTATCTTCAACGTACCATTTGCACAGATCTTCCGTGTTGTCCTGCTTCTGGCCTTCCTTCATATTCTATGTGTGTTTCTTTGTGTTCCTTTCACGTCTTCCATGTATCATTAACTTTCTCTGACATCAAATTTATCTCCCTACTATTTGATGGCTTTTTATGCCGATGAACATCTCTTGATATATTACTGATAATTCTTATCAGTAGCACACGCTGCACTCTGAGATATCATCAGTTTAACTGCATGTAGGACGCCGTATGACAGAGGGAACCTATACTGCCAGTGACGATAAGATAGGACCGATTTCTGTCCATTATCAGTATTACATAATATGTATATATATTCTGTTTTCCCACACACCGAAATACTTCTCTGATATTATTCGATGTCATATGCATCACCACCCTGACTCCACTTCAGAACATGTAAATGTGAACAAATACAGACTAGAAGCTTCCCACTGGATATATCACATGGTGTGAAACAGTACTATTTACTGGATGGCATAAGTTTCCAACACAATTTATCATCGTTCATAATCACATCAATTATATCTACATAACTTCGGAATTTTCGCTTTATAGTTTTTTTTATTCCTTCCCACTCGTTGTACGGGTAGTAGAATTCTCCGGATGTTCACGTGAACATATGTCGAATCGTTGATAAGCCACGTATTTTCAGTCGATTAGATAAATAAAGCTTCCATTATCAATCTCTCCTTCCAATTTGTTATTCCATCCTATTTTATGGTTGTGTGTGTAATCTTTATTGCTTGATAATTCGTTGATATTAGATGTTTGGAGGCAGTCGGCAGGAATCCTTGCCTGACCTAGGTCTCGTGTTAGTTGGCACTCATCAGTCAACAAGACGTATCTGCAACCTTGGTGCAGACTGAATTCTATCAGTCAAGTTTACAATGTGGCCAGCACAGTCCCACTGGAAGTCAATTGAGAGCTCAAATAGCTCAGTGGTAACGTCTCTGACTACAGTATTCACTGGGTGACACAGGAGTTCGAATCTAAGAAGGCACATGAGTTCCTTCAAGGTTGCAGATACGCCTTGCTAACTGGTCGGTGAGTGCCAACTAGCACGAAACCTAGATCGAAGGCTTCCTGTGGCCGACTGCCTCCAACCCATCTAATGTCAACAATTCAAAGGCCAATGTGATGACGAGCCACCTAGAATGGTGACCACATCGCAAAATTGACTAATAGAATTCAGTCTGCACCAAACAAAGGACTAGACATATTACACTACTTACTAACCAGTGTCCAACCAAAGTACTTAATAATTTCCTTGATAAATTAATGAGGACGAATGTAGAAAAGTGCAAAAACAAAAATTTATAATAATCATAATACTTAGGAGGTTATGGATGACAACATCAACACTAGGGAATATAATTCACCAGTAGTACTTCCATACAAAGAAGGGACCTCAGAAAAACCTCCGTAGAATCCTTAACATAGCAGGAATAAAAGCGGCGTCCAAACCACCCATAGACTAACTCAGTTAGAAACAAATTGTGGTCGATTGAAGGATCCTGTGGAGCCTACTAAACAAAACAATTTAGTTTATCTAACACCCTGCAATTATTGTCGGGTTGAACATACAAGCCAAAGTAGTAGAACGGAGTCGATCAGACCAGTGGAGCATAAAAACCCTAATAAATTTTTTAAAAATCTAGTAAAAAGGGCACTTATTGCACTACATGCAATTACTTAGACAACAATACAATAGGATGGGATCAAATGACAGTTCTCAACTCGAATATAACAGGATCGGGAGAGAGGTTGACAGCGGAAGCCCTATTTATCGAATCAAATGAAAATACTTTCAAGAGAAATGATTGAACACCTGTCCATCCGGACATCGGGAAAATTCTACTACCCCCACGACGAGTTGGAAGGAATAAAAGAACTATTAAACGAAACTTTCGAAGTTGTGTACTTATAACTGAAATACTATTACACTTGATGCGATCGCTTAACAAATATGTAGGAGAAAATGGAGATGGATGAACCAGGCATCCATTGACGAAACCATCGAATAATGTCGCGCGCCAGGCCATCGCTTGATTGGAATCCAAATAGGAAGCGATGAGTGGGTCATCAATGCTACGGTGATATAGAGGAGATCAGGTGAGGAAGAGACGAGAGATTTTGAACAGTCGTGTACACAGCTGAAGAGGATAGCAGAAAATAGAAGAAAGTGGAGATTTGTTGTTGAAGTCACATGTTCCGGTTGGAGCCCAAGGGAACAATAATAATAATAATATGCAATTACATATTACTAAAATGCCCAAACTTTACACATATATAAATGAACCACAATTCAAACAGATTAGAAACACACAATTACCAACCAACAAACCAACCAACTTACCTCTAGTTTATTAATTTTCTCTTCTAAATCACGATTTGTCTCCTCCAGAGAACTAATCCGTAAGTGTTGCTTGGAGACTTCAGTTAACAATTCCAAATTATTCATATTTATGGAGAGATGACTTCCTCTATTACCATTGCTACTACCGCAAGTTGATTTCGATGGTGGTACCTATAGATAAAAGGAAACCAATGGAACCTTCAATATATTTATATATTTTTAAGGAAGCATAGGCAACAAGACACTCTACAAACGAACCAATCAATAACCTGTTGCCCAACGAATATGCAGAACGAAGTGAACATCGACTGTGCATGTCCGCTGAAGAGACCACTAAATGAAATCATGCACCACACCAGCGTGTTGAATGAAATCTGAGTAGAAAATGAGTCTGAGGGTGAGATGGAGGAGATCGCGTGAGAAGGAATGACTACCCACCAGAATTTATTCAGTAATATATATGAAAAATCATAGAAAAACTAAGATAAGCAATAAAAATGATGCAAAAAGTATAGAGTTCTAAGCTTCTGTAGTACTGACATTTAAAGAAGGAACGTCACAGGCCTTACGTAAGATTCTCAGTGAGGCTGGAATTAGTCAGGGTGGCATCTAAATTAACCAACCAATTCTCTCAAAGATAAACTTTGTCGGCTTAAGGACCCAAAAGATCCAATTAAGAAAAATAATATATTTTGCCAAATATCATGTTATGACTGGAAGAGAGGTCAGTTACATTGCTCAGACTACCAGATCGGAGACAACTGGATAATTGGAACATAAAAATTTAGCTAGACCAATGGAATAATTGACCCTGCTAAGTTACATAACCTAGAAGAAAACTCATCCACTGAACTGCATCCACTTGGATGTAATCACACAATAGGTGGTGTGGGACAACGTGAGGGTATTTTTTGCAATTTGCTATTTGGTATTTTTTAACTCATGGAAAATTCTCATTGTAGCATATCGAAAATCGAAACAAGTGATTCAGCGAAGAGACTCCTTGCAACGAATTTATTATCGAGCTGTACAATCCGGTGAGGGAATTAGATCAAAAGTGTGAACACATGAAATAATAATAATAGTATGAAATTCAATTAAAACTAAAAATGTTTGTTATTATGATCATACTTAAATGTCATATATAGAATAATTCATAGGATGGATAGAACTTGGGAAGGGTGTGCAATTATAGGATTAGTAGATAAATCGAATAAAATAAAACCGTTACGCAATATTGTGTGAAATTTGATAGCATAGAATTTAACGTTGTAAAAAAAAGAATTGATTTTGAATGACAAGTGGAACAAGTGAAATAATACCGGGGAAAGTTCAGAGTGAGAGTAGTAATAGTAACAATTGATGTAATAAAGGAAGAGTATACAAATTGAATAGACAAAATGAAAAATGAAAAATTGGTAGAGCAAAAATATGATTGGGGATTGCCATACTTTAGCATAGAGAGATTAAGAGCATGAAAGTTGGAGGGTTGAACGAACTTTTTCTGTACACAGAGATCTGGCTTTTCTTTTTCGATAGCCAAAGCTTCAGCAATACAGATGAGTTGGGTGCGCAGTGATTTGGATAAATTACTTTTTGCCTTGTAGATGACTTTAAAGGCGTAGGCTATAGAGGTAGGGTGATCATTATCGACCAGATGTTCAATGATCGCGCCTCTTATTGCTGCATTTCCACCTCTTCGAAACCACGAAGGATAGTGTTCTTGCACCCTCTTGGACAAAAATTGAGTCGAACAACTGATATACCTAGCTCCACACAAGCAGGTGAATTGATAAGCACACATAGAGTTGGTCAACAGCGGGATCTTGTCCTTCAGGTTACTGAACAGCAATGGCCAACTAATAAAGGCTATTCTCAGAGATGCAGCAGGCAGTGTTCTTTTCAGAGACTGTGATATCCTTCTTTTCATGATATCGGAGGCTAAGTCCCCTTTTGATTTTGGTGTGGTTGTGTTCTCTGAGCTGGATGGTTTGGTTGCGAAGCTTTCATTGCTCTACTGAGCAACATCTTCAGCACATACTTCGATGTGAAGTGAGCTTTTAGAATTCTCTATGAGTTTATTAGTCATCTCTTCTAGTAACCCTGAACGAGATTGGTTGTTTTCGTGTGACATTTCACCTCCTAGTTTGTTTGTCTCGGTGCTGGCTGCTTCTTTGGTCTGAATGTCGTTAGTCATTCCTTCTGCTAACATAAACATAATTCTGCCAAAGATCAAACCGAAAATTTGGATACGCTACATAGATGATACATTCGTGATAATCAAAAGAGAAAACTTAGACAATACCCACAACATAATAAACAACACCTTCAACGACATCAAATTCACAAGAGAAGAAGAATATGAAAACAAAATCCCATTTTTAGACGTCTTAATCAAACGAACAACTACAGGAAAATTAGAAACCCAAGTATACAGAAAACCAACGCACACGGATCAAATACTCAATTACAACAGTAACAACCCAACATCACACAAAATTAGCTGCATACGTACATTGTTCAAGAGAGCCAGGACTCATTGCAGCACTCCCACCTTGAGGAAAAATTGAAGAAAATCATCTTATGGACGTCTTCCAAAGAAATGGATACCCACGAAACTTCATCAAAAGACATCTACCCCCAGCTCAACCAACCAAATCAAAGGCCACCAGCGAAAACACAAAGAAAGTCGTCCTACCATATATAAAAGATATCTCCGAAATCACTGCAAGACTATTCAAACCTTTTGGAATCGATGTCGCTCATAAACCAACAAAGTCACTACACTCAGTTCTATGTAAACCAAAGGACTCAACGGCAAAAGAAGACAAAACTAACGTCATCTACAAGATAAGTTGCAACGACTGCGACAAACATTACATTGGTCAAAGTGGACGCCCTCTTCGTCTTCGCATTCACGAACACAAACTAGCTGTCAAAAGACACGACATACACTCCCTCATATCACTACATGCAGACAACCACGGGCACCAATTCGACTGGGACAATGTTCAAATCTTAGACAAAGGGAACTGCAAAAATGCCAGAGAATTCCTAGAGGCCTGGTATTCAAATGAATCAGCAATCAATAGACACACAGAGATTGACAAAATATACCAATCCATACGAAGAAATTCACACAAAAACAAAGTCAAACTTCAGGTCAAGGAAACAGTCAACACCAAAACAAGTGAACTAGAAAGTGAGAAGTCACACAAAAACAACCAATCACGTTCAAGGTTAGCAGAAGGAATGACTAACGACATTCAGACCAAAGAAGCAGCCAGCACCGAGACAAACAAACTAGGAGGTGAAATGTCACACGAAAACAACCAATCTCGTTCAGGGTTACTAGAAGAGATGACTAATAAACTCATAGAGAATTCTAAAAGCTCACTTCACATCGAAGTATGTGCTGAAGATGTTGCTCAGTAGAGCAATGAAAGCTTCGCAACCAAACCATCCAGCTCAGAGAACACAACCACACCAAAATCATCCACCTGAGCTACAAATCTTCTCTACTATACCCCTTTTTGATGAATTTCCACCACGTTTTATATACACAAGAATATACATTCAAATCCTATAAAACGTGACTTATCATTCGCACCCAAGAAAATACTGTACATGACCTTGGAATTCAGTGAATGTATTTTAATCAACTAAACACTGCATATATGTAATCGAAATGACGCAACGCATCGCCTATACCGGAGATATGGAAAGTGGTAACAAACAATAAAGGGAAGCTGGAGGGACAGAATCGCGAGAAGTGAACTGATATGATTATGAGTGACAATAATTTATGCTCGAAACCTTGTCATCCAGTTGTTAATACTGCCTCATCACTATGTGTGATATTTAAAATAAACTTATCTAATAAGTAAATGGAAGCTTTCAGGCAGTTGTGAGACCAGATGAAAAGGACCGCGGAGAACAGAGTACAGTGGTAATGTTCTGTTGAAGCCGCATGAAAAATAAACTGGAAAACTAATTAATCTACTCACTACCAACTAGTATAAATGATAGAAACAAGAGTAGTAAGAAGCTGGATCAATTTCTTAATTTACCAATTGATCCGAGATCAACAATCTATACTATATCAACAGTTATCGCACAGTTTTCTTTGTAAACTGAAATTATTTAAATCACAGTATGTTCTCTGGTTGATATTAATAGATGACCATTCTGCTCAGTTTTGAGATCAAGTTGATCGCCGATGTACCCAGATTGATTCAATACAGAGAGCCGAATCACTTCGAACTACCCAAATTACGACAATCTAATCGAATTCCTACAATCCTAGGGGGTGATTACTTCACCATAGTTTCAGTTGGGGAACAATAAATTACCCAGATCGAAATATGTGATCGCTGTGACATAGATTCTCATCTATCAGTGAAACTGCCACCCCCGTATCCATTAAACATGCGAATTCGTTGGCATTCATTCGTAATTTAGAGTACATAGCCCCCGCTGTCGATAGCCCCCCACTAGTTCTCGTCTTAAAGGAGAGAAAGAACACACGTTATACTGTCTGAAACACTTTCTTCTCCTTGTTCCTCGGCAGTGCGTCCTCCAGTGTCCTGCTTTGCCATATTCAAAGCATTGATCCCTTCTGACACTGATTCATAGCGCGGCTACTTCACACTGCGAATCCTCATTCATCTGTTCCCACTCATTCAATTTCGGTAGTTCTACTACTGTTACGGTTGTGGTCAGTGTCTGCCTAATAACCTTCGCTAGGTCACCGATATCCATGGGTTGTGCAGCGTTAACCAAATGTAGTTGTTAAAAAATGAGGTCTGGAACACTCTCGATGAACTGGAAAGTCAATAACTGCAACTCTGACTCTTCATGCGGTGTGGGAAGTGCGCGACGTAGTAGATTCGTCAACTTCACCACCATCACTATTAGGTCTCCGTCAAGTCTTGGCTTTGCTACACGGTACCTCTGCATTGCTAGCTGGCTGCGCATTAGGCTGTCGAACTCTGCCACAAACCACCACAGTCACCTCCACCGGCGTATCTTGACGTCCACCTACTCGGCGACAGCACCGAAGTCCTCCAAGGAGCTCCCTGTGTCTCCTTCTTTGAAAGTATCTGGCCACGGGATCTTCGTTGTCTGGAGGCAGCGACACCGATTGTAACGGTAGGAGACGAAGACTTGGT